TGATTTTAATTATTTCCTGTCTTCTACTACTTTTGGTGTTGGTTTGTTCTTCTTTTTCTAGGGCTTTGAGAAGTAATGTCAGGTAGTTTATTTGTTGACATTTTCTTCTGCATTCATAGTGTCCCAGAGATTTTGATAAGTTGTGTCAGAGTTCTCATTTACCTCTAAGAATTTGTTTTTCATTTCCTCCCTGATATCCTCTGTTATCCATGTGACATTCAATAGCATATTGTTTAGTCTCCAGGTGTTGGAGTAGCTTCTCTTTTTACTTTTATCATTGATTTCTAATTTTATTCCATTACAGTCTGATAGAATGTGGGGTAGTATCTCTATTTTTTATATTTGCTAAGACTTGCTTTGTGGCATAACATATGGTTTATTTTGGAGAAGGATCCATGTGCTGCTGAGAAAAAAAGTTTATTCACTCATTGATGAATGGAATAGTCTATATATGTCTGTTAAGTCCAATTTATTGATTGTATTATTGAGTACTATAGTTTCTTTGTTTAGTTTTGGTTGGAAGATCTATCCAGTGGTGAGAGAGCTGTATTAAAGTCATCCAGTATTATTGTGTTGTGGTCTATTTGGTTCTTATATTTGAAAAGAATCGTTTGACATACATAGCCACATTGTTTGGGGCATAAATATTTGTGATGGTTATGTCTTGTTCATGTATGATTTCCTTAAGCAGTATAAAATGTCCTTATTTATCCCTTTTCCCTAGCTTTGGTTTGAAAGTCACTTTATCTGATATGAAGATAGAAACTCCTTTTTGTTTATGTGGTACATGAGAGTGGTAAATTTTCCCCCACCTTTTCGTCTGCAATCTATGGATGTCTTTTCCTGTGAGATGATTCTCTTGAAGGCAGCATACTGTTGAGTCTTTTTTTTTTTGTCCTTTTAATCCTATCTGTCAGTCTATGTCTTTTACTTGATGAGTTTAGGCCATTCAGGGTTATTATTGAAATATGATTTGTATTCCTGGAGATTTGGGTTTATTTTTGGATTTTAACTCGACTTGGTTTCTCCTTTGATTGACATTTCCTTTAAGGTAGTTCTTCCCTTTGCTGATTTTCATTGTTGTTTTTTATTTTCTCCTCTTGGAATATTTTGCTGAGTATGCTCTGTAGTGGAGGCATTCTCACTATAAATTCTTTTAACTTTTGCTTATCATGAAAGGTTTTTATTTTGTCATCAAACTTGAAGCTTAATATTGCTGGATATAATATTCTTGGTTGTCATCCAATGTTTTTTCAGAGCTTGGTATATGTTGTTACAGGATCTCCTGGCTTTCAGGGTCTGGATTGAAAAATCTGCTGAGATACAAATTGGTCTCCTTCACATGTGTTTGATTCCTCTCTCTTGCAGCCTTTAAGATTCTATCTTTATTCTGTATGCTAGGCATTTTCATTATAATGTGCCTTGGAGTAGATCTCTTGTATTTGATTTTCCAATTTATTCTTCATGTTTGAGAAATTTTCTGATATTATTTCATTGAAGAGAGAGAATATTCCTTTGGTTTGAATCTCTGTGTCTTCCTCTATTCCTATGTTTGCTCATTTAGGTCTTTCTTTAATTCACAGGTTATTTTAATTATGTGTATTCTGAACTCCTTCTGTGAAATTTCATCAACTACGCCATCCATGGATTCTATTATTGTAGTATCCTAGTTTGTTTGGGCACTTTCTTCCTTTGTTTTTTCATTTTGTCTATGTGTCTTCCTTTCTTGCAGCATGTATCTGAGGTATTACAGTTTCTGTCCTATAATCTTATAGTGACTGTGCAGATTATCCATACTTCACCTTGGTGTTGGGCTTCCAGACCCTACCATTGTCCCGTAATGGATGCTACTGCAACTAAAGATGGTGGTGGCAATAGCAGAGGTAACTTGAGATAGGAGTAGGGGTGTCCCAAGATGGATGCAACCAGTTTCAGAAATAGGGCTGAAAGAGTGGGCCTTACAATGGCTTTGGGCTGCCTTTTCTGAGATTTAGCTTTCTGCTCTCACAAGGTGGAGGCTACTGCATGGGGAGGGCTATGGCGATGGCTGCAGTGTCCCAAGATGGA